GGAATTCATTACTGAGCCATTTCAACTCAGCCATCCTCAAGATGACTCCCACTTGAACTTATACTGTAATTCTACCGGTTTAAACAATTCTACTTTAGCAGCTGTTTGAATTCAAAAACCTGGTGCCCTTCATAGAACATGTTGAATGAAAAGGCAATCTACGCAATAAAGATCGAATTGCTCTTTGATAGTAAGGAAATTAACAGATTTGTAGTCAAAGTATATCTCCAATCTTATCATATCATATGTGAACAGATGACTCTGTAGGCATTTAAGCCCACAACTTTTGCCTTTCTCAATCCCTAACTCAAATAGTCAACTTTTCAACTCGCTTTCCAGACAATCCAATCATTTACCTTCTCTACTCGACTTATGTCTTGTTTCTGATCCAAGTCAGTACACAGTTTCTCCACATTCATTCTTAGGTGCCTCTGATCATAGTTTGATCTCTTTAAAACTCTCATTCTCAATCCCCCTATCATCATAGATCTTACAAATACCTTAAAGCTGACTGGGACTCTTTCCGTGATTTTCTCTGTGATGGCCCTTGGGTAGAAATCTTTTGTCTTCCTGTTGACAAATGTGCTTCTTACATAACTTAGTGGATTCAGGCTGTCATTGAATCCTTTATTCCCTCTTGACAATTCCAGGTCAATCCTCGCTCTTCTCCAAGGTTTTCCTCACATTGTGCTGCTGCAATTGCCAATCGAAACCATTACTTCCATATCTATCAGCAAAACAATTCTCTAGAAAACAGATCTCTGTTTATTACTGCTAGGAACCATTGTAAAAAGGTTTTGTCTAACGCCAAAGCCCGCTATTCTCAGATCATGAAATCTTGTATTTCATCACAAAACTTAGGCTCTCATGACTTCTGGAGAATCTTTAATAGTATCAATAATAAGGGCAAGTTGGTAATACCACCGCTTTTGCATGGTTCAGACTTTGTCACCTCACCTAAACAAAGCTAAATTGTTTGCTAAGAACTTTTCATCAATATTATCTCTTTATTCCACTAGTTGCATTCGACCTGATATAGCTGTCAAAAAGGTTGATTCATTGCTTGACATCCGTATCACTCCAGCTTCTTTATCTAAAGTGATTTCCTGCTTAGACTCTTTTACAGCTTGTGGCCCGGGCAACATACCTGTTATAGTCTTGCAGAAGTGTTGTCTGTCCTTTCAAAATTATTCAACAAGTGCTTATCCGAGTCTTGTTTTCC